GAACGGACAGGGTTCATTAGAAGTTTTTATCATGGAAGCAGCTATTACCAGTTCAAACTGTTGGTAAATACACTTCAGATCTATACCAATCATTTTGATGGCATACCGATTGAGAAAGCTTAAGTTCGAATGAAGTCAAGCACATAACCCTTGGCATGGAAAACCTTTCTGTCAACTGGACAGTTACCCATTTTTCCTTCCAATACTCCATGCACATCTCATAACCCCATTTTGTTTTAAGAAAAATTAATCGCATGATAGTTAAATAACCAATGTCTTCTTGATTAAAAAGATGTTAATAACCAGGCAGCATATGTTCTATTAGCCCAATTATAAGATATACCATTCTGATTTCCCATATCTCGTGTCTCTGACAATGCATTCAGTGCCATCGTTTGAAGAAAAAAGAAAAAGGATGACAGGGAAGATATTTAAAGAACAAAATCAAAACTAAAACCCAGTAATAGTATCATCTAGAAGAAAGAAATCAGAACTCTACCTGTGAAAGCAACGGAAACAAGACATCAACTTCATAAATGGCAAGGCTTCATGCAGTTCATCATCTGGGATTAAAGGGTACAAACACAGAGGACAATCACCATCTGGGTATTCATAACAGAGAGCTTCTCCACCACTTCCTAAAAATGTAGAATCAATGAATCTTTGCAACTTCTATATATCAGTCAAAGAAAAGCTGCAAACATACACAAATTCACTGCTACAGCTATTTGTATTTTAGATTGAGCAATTTGTAGGCATTCCTGTCAAGCTGCTGGAAATCTAGCAAATAGACATTCACTGTTATTTTTGGTGCAGCGTCCAAGTAAAACACAATACATGGTAAAATAGCATGCCATGAATGTGTTTTCACCCTGGTTACTGTGCATATAGATTCTGCCAAAAACTATTATTAAATTACAATCCAGGATCTTTTATTACCTTAATGATTCTACACCAACAACCTATTTTAGCACTGCAGGCAATTCAAACTTATGCTCATATCTTGAAAATACCAGGGATTGTGATATCAAATCCTCAACTAAAATGTTAAACGGAAAGAATAAGAAGCATCAGAGCATAATCTTAATGCTAATTGGCACAAGCCAAATATTACAGCGCATGCATTTACTTTGCAGAACAGCCAATTACTTAAAGACTACCTACAAATATATGACAAATGGAAAAAAAAATCAAATTAAGATGAGGATTTTCTACTGTTTATCAAATACGAGGCAAGAAATATGGTTTTCTCAATTCGTTAACACAATATAGAATAACAATATCAATGCAGAAAAAATTCTTGTTATGTGAAAAATGCAGCAATTACCTCGCAAAGTGCTACAAGCATCAAACAAGAGGAAAGTTCACATGCTTTGTGTTGTCCACTAGTTATCAATTTCTTTTGCCTTTCTCCATCAAGAGCCTTGGATTCTATGAGATCAATATGCAGAGGTTCGCTTAGATACTACCATGGAATATGGACAAAATATAGTATCGAAACAAAGGTATTCAAGATTTCACAAACAATCAACAGCACACATGGAGCATCCAACCCTAATAATTTTCACCACTTAGGCAGAAAATACATACAAATTGAGATCTCCTTGATGTTGTAAAATACCTCAGGACTTGCTTTTATCCCAATAACTGCTTCCACAAACAGCAGAAAAACACAATGAAGTCCTATAGAACAGTTATTTATGCCTATTCTCTGTGTCAAAAGAAATAGCACAAAAACAGTCATCAATCTCCATAAATAAAGTTACAACCGCTGGTAAAAAGAAAAAAGAAAACGACGCATACCCTTAAATGCAATGAGAGACGGAAAAGGATGAATCTTTTTCTAATAGTATAATTCACACTGCTACAGCTGGATGCGAAATCAAGAACCCTCAAGCTGATTTTTAGCTATGAGAATTGATATGCAATAAAACTAGTGCAATTTTCCCTTCCAATACATAGTGCCAATACCTCAATTATATCCTTACACAAAAATATTCTACGAAAATACAATAAACACATTAGAATCATTATTCTAAATAAATGGGTTTGCTCAAAGGAATCAGCACTATCAACTGTTAACAACCACCTTGATAAGAATCGTTTTTATTTCCCAGATAATTTTTTCTCGAATTTTGTTCTTCAACACCAAAAAATAAGCAGACCCCAAAAGTAAAAGATGGGGAAAGAGAGTGGTGGACCTGTTGAGAGGAGATATCAACGGTTCTGGGTTTGATGGGGAGGTGAAGATGAGGAGGGAAAGAATCGAGAATTGCAAAATCTTCGCCGTACACGGCCAGCACCGCTTCTACTTCCATTAAAAACTTCTTCTTCTGCCATTCCTTTTTCTTCAACAGCTGCTTATGCAGTCTGTCCCTTCAATTTTTTATTTTCGGGGGTAAATTTTGAATTTTTTCTATTTTAATTTTTTTGAATTTTTAATTTATTTTAATGTATTAATATTAAAAATAATTTAAAAAATATTATTTTAATATATTCTCAAATAAAAATTCTTTAAAAAACAATTAATACAACATTTTTAAAAATCTATTTAATCTTCGAACAGCGATTGAGAAAATAGTTGGGGGCCATGTTTTATATGCAATTTAGTTTAATTAAATGTTATTAAATTTGTTTAACTAACTAATTATTATATTTATAAGAATGATATATTCAATAAAAACTTGAATTATCTAGATTTTCTTCAATTTAGTTAACTGATTTTTAAATATTTCTAAGAACACGATAATTTGGGTAATTATTTGAATTTCTTTAGAAACTCATATTATCTATAATAATAATAACAACAATAAAATATTAAAAAATATGATTTAATTATTTAGACATGCTCATAAAATATTGTTAATTAAAATAGTGTTATATGTATTTTTTTAATCTTATTATTTAATAATTTAATATTTTTTATTTTTGTAATTTTATCATTTAATATTATTTATTTTAAAAATTGTGCTTTATAGTATTTTATTTATTTATTTTGTTGGATTATACTCATATTAATCACATGATTTCCTTCATTTCTACATTTGATATTATATATTTTATTGAAGTGATGCTTTGTAATTTTATTTATTTATTTTTAATAAATTTATTTCAATATTATAATTTAAGTTGCAAGTTTAATATATTGACCTAGATTAATTTGAGTTGTTTTTTTGCTACATTTTCTAATTGATTTTTTTATTTCACCTTTCAACAATGAGTTGGTTGAAAATTCAACTTTATTATTTTCTAATTGATTTTTTTATTTCACAATGAGTTGGTTGAAAATTCAACTTTATGATTTTTTATATGTATTTTTTATAAGGTTATTCTAATCTCATGATAGAGTTGTGGGTTTGACATGTTGATTTAGGTTAACTCTAATTATTTTTTATTTTTTTTAATTGAATATTTTTTTAATTGAACTTTCTTATTTTTTATATTTGCTTTTTATGAATTTATCTAGATCTCATAATTCATATTACGAGTTTAACTACATGACATGAATTTATTCAAGTTGTTTTTTTAGGCTGTCTTTTCAAATTGATTTTATTATTTTATTTTATTCTTTAACATTAGATTAGTTGGAAATTGACTCTTATATTTTTTTATTTTTTTATAAATTATCTTGATCTCATGATCTAAGTTACAAATTTGACTTATTGATTCTATTATTTATTTACTGGGCATTTTAATTGAGTTTCATAATTTTTTTATATGAATTTATCACTATCTCGTGACTAAATTATTAGTTTAATAAATTAACTATAGTTGATTTTGATAGCGTTTCTAGACAACTTTTTCTAATTGATTTTTCTCTATTTCATCTGTTAATATTGAGTTTGTTGGAAATTATAATTCATATTTTTTTTATGAGTTATCTTAATCTTAAGACTCGGGTTATGAGTTTGACATATTAATACAAGTTGACTTTATTCATTTTTTAGGTTCTTTTTTAATTTAAATTTTTTAAAAAAATTTAATTTTTAATTTAATTTTTTTAAAAAAATTCAACTTAGTAATCTTTTTATTTGCTTTCTATGGAGTTATCTTGGTCTTATAATCTGAGTAGCAAATATGGTTAATTAACTCATATTGAATCGGTTTATTTTTTTAGGTTCATTTTTAATTGTATATTTTTATTCAATTTCAACCTCCAACAACTTAATCTTTTTTTTATTTAGTTTTTTTTATCACAATATATCATAATCTTTTAATATATAACACATATATTTCATATTCATGATTATTTATTTTTTTTTTTTAAAAAAGGCATGCTAGCAATGCATGATTTTAAAAAAAAAAAGGCATGCTAGCAATGCATGATTTTTTTTTCACGTTAAAAAATTTGATCCAATACACAGCTAGTGATCTGAACTAACAGGAATATAAAAATGTAAGGGAGAGTTCTTATCCAATGCTAATACTGTAGAGATTCCAATGCAATGTTGAGGAATATTGCCAGTGTCAAGTAGCATTTGAGCAAAAACATATCTAACACTTAAAAATAAAGAAAATTTAAGCACGAATCTGTATTTGGTTCTATGTTCATGATTTTCAACTTGATTCAAATACATTCAACGTAAAGATATAGTATGATTTATGTTTCCTTCCCAACTTGCTACCTTCTTCTTCTTCTTGTGCAAGTACTCACATGCAGATATTTAGCTCATTGACAGCAGATACATATTATATTATCTTGATCCATGAAAGTATGATCCAGCACCTGATGTTTCAGTATTTGGGAGAGGCAGGGAATATTTGAGAAGTAAGAACATGAATTTTTCTCAAGTGAGATGGTTACCAAGTTCTGAGTCTCGATAAATGATGGTTTTGCACTTAGAAATCACGATTTCAAATTCTCTTATTGAATTATTTAAGCTATTCGGATAAATAAAATAAAATAAAACTATATGGATGGTGGGCCTTCAAATGGTAGACTCGTAGTCATTCTTTATTAAAGTCTTTCGTCAACGTTTTTCTTTTTCTTTTTCTGTAACCATGTGATATCTCCTTGCAGCCAATATCATCTACCCCGGTACTGGTACTAGTTTTTGTGTGGACGATCTGTTCAATTTCATCACTAACTCAAATATTCAGGTTGCTTTCTTCTTCTTTTTTTATTGAAAAAAATCCAGGTTTCTGCTGGTGCCAATGGTGAATACTAATTTTAACAAGCCAGATCAAGTTTGGCCTTGAGAATATGCAAGTAATATACAGCTCAACCCCTACGAATTTTATTTCTCTCCAATTCTTTCGATTCTAACTTTGATTTGTCCTTCCCTTGATTGAAAATGCACACAGGTTAAAGCAAGAAAAAAGAGAGCAGCAGCAGAGATGCTGGAGTTTAACTATAGCAGTTTAAAATGCATAATCCAGGCGTGATTCAAAACTTGCAGCTTGAAGATTTCAGCGGTGGAGTTGCATATATGATTGATAGATGACAAGCTGCAAGAAAAGAGATGAGGTCCGGACAACACTGGAGCATGATAATTAAGGTACGTACAAGTCTATACTGAAAACTTGGCTCATAAAGAACTACCTTGATCTGATGTTTAGCCGTTTCGTTCTTGAAAAATCAAGTAAAAAGAGAGGAGAAAAAACAAATGTTTTCTCTAATTATGCCCCTTCTCTTTCGTTAACTAGTCTGGGATTTCTGTACTGAACTGCTCAGCATTAACCTTCAAGGTTTTCATGTGGCCAGAACTGAATAATAAACATTTCATTTCGAGACCAGACCCTCATATGGCCTTTTTTATTTGGGCCTGGGCCGTTATTTACCCAAAGAAAAGACCATGATTTTTTTTTAATTTTTTTTCATGGCTTCCATTATTGAGACCTTAGGTTAGTCGATATCGAACAAAGTCACCGAGGTGTCTCTTAGACCTTGGTGTGTCGATCTCGAACAATGTCTCCAAGATGTCTCCTCGCAGATTTCATCTTTATATTTGATACTTTCTCCATATGAAATCTACATCTTCCTTGCTTTCTCTGAATATTGGTTAACGTCGTCCTCTGCTTAATTTTCCATTCTAGCAAAGCTATGGAAGCCAATAGGATCGAGCTGGATCCATCTGGCCAAGAACTCGAAGGTACGTGTGTTTATATCTATAGATCAATATTGATCTGCAGGTTTGATTTTGAGCTAAACGATTTTAACTGCTTTCTTGATTGCAAATACTTCAGCTTCATTTGACTCTTTTGCACCAATTGTTCATGAGAAAACACGCTTAAAAAGGCCACCAATTCCCTTTGTTTTCGGCTTTCCTAACCAAAGAGGAACCATCGACATTCCATGTTCCAGGACTAGAGAGTATATCAAGGACTTTACCTTTTTCTTTTAATCATTTGATCAACCTATTTCTTATTATCTCTAGATCAGTTGCAGTGGGATTAAAGTAAGATTGATAGGTTTCATGATTGCTTTTCAAGATGTCAGAACATTTAAAATTTAAGATGAGAGAAGATTGAAATGAATTTTTTTTGTTTATAATATAGGTTTTTTTTTTTTTATCTTATTTCTAAACGCACAATTGCGTGAATACAGATTTTCTAGCTGTGAGCTACAAGCCTTATTTTCATTATTGAAAAGGAAACTCATCAACAAGTTCATTTTTAATAAGCAAAACAACAAAATTTCCTATTGTATATTTATTGACCAATAAGTTCATATTTAATATTTTCTTTCCAAAAACATTTAATTTTTCACGTACGTTCTTCATTGATACCGTCTAGCATCTTACATTATCAATGTTGCATTCTCTCCTTCACAGCCATAAATTTAGTAAGAGTAATTATTATACTCAAGCACAGCTATCCTTACTTTCTGCTGAAAAAATAATTCTTATATCATCATCTTTTATTTTTCCATAGCATGTCAATTGTTAGGGTTCTTTTTAACTCAATTTTCTTTCGCTCAGTGAGGCAATAAATTTGTTTAGAAGATTTTAGTGTTTTTTATTCCAAGAAAAAAGTTTTAAATTTTTAGTTGACATTTCATGTTTTGACAGTTCATTTAGCAAATGTTTAAAGAATTGAATTTTTCTGAAATAAAAATTCAAAAATGAATTTATTAATAATTTTTCTTATTAAAAACAAGTATTATTAACGTGAGATTAAGGAATTTATTTTTTCTATAGTTTCATGTTTAAATCTTGTAGTTGTCAATACGATAATTATTAAAGAATTATATAATGATTAACTTCATGATTCATAGAATTAATTAGGATTAATTAAGATTAATGTAAACTTATCTAGATATCAATATTAATAATAAAAAAAAATTAGGCAGTATATGAGAGATTTGTATACAGAAAGTAGCCAGGAAAAAACGAAAATCATATGCAGAGGGGGGGAATAAAGGAAAGAAAAAAAAACAAATGAAGGATGGTTGCTTGAATTACTATACATATATACAGCACCAGCTTGAAGCTCTCATTGGCATCCTTATTCCATAACGCAAGTTTTTAAAGGTTTTCTTCTTAGTTTAAACGCAACTCAAGCTAAAACCTTAATTGGAAACTCAAACTGCACGCAGGCAGAACTATCGCAGGGGAGATCTCATCCGTGAATCATCGAACACCCTGCCCATCAGCTCCACCTACAGAAGGAAGAGGTAAAAGCAATGATCAGAAAAGACAAAGCAAGAGGGAAATTGATAAGAGATACAACGAGAACAGGAAGGTATAATGACTAGCTATTACTCCTACCTCTTCTTGTTCCTTAATTGGTGCTCTTTCCTTTCTTTCCTTCGTGAATACTATCAACTTCCATTTCTATTTATTGTGCAGCAAAAGGAGGATGAGATTATGAAAGAGCTCGAAAGCCTGGAAAAATTTTCTGGTGAATTAGAGCGTGAAAATGACGAGTTAGAACGCCAAGAAAATCAGTTGGAGGCCACTGTACATATGGAATATGAAAAAATTGTTAGCCTGTTGGAGGACAATAATGCAGGACAAAATATTGATGTGCAGGGGCCAAGCATGCATGCCGGTTTTCCAAATGCAAATGCAGATGTGCGTATAATTTTTTTTTGGTTTATAATTTAAAAAATATATATTTAAAAACACAATAAAAAAGTAATATATTCATTTTTTTGGAAAAAACAATAAAAAAATTCTACCCACAGCATCGCGGCTGGTCACGTAGTGTTAAGCTATGCTTTGTTTTCATTGTTTTGCAGATCAATGCTACTGGAGAAATATCAATGGGTCATGATGGGCTTAAAAGAGAAATGAACCAAGCCCCGATCACGAGCAGTAAGTTCAGTTCCACCTAGAAAAAAAGTATATCTATTACATTGTTTTGATGGCATGAATATCTATAATAACAATAAACAAACAACCATTTAATGCCTGTTTTAATACTTTAGAAAACTTTAAACTATATAACTGGAGTCAATACATTATAAGTATGTGTTTAAGGACTTCAAATTTAGGAGGAGGCGTTTATTTTGTGGAAATGTAAAACATCTTATATTTTATATGAAATAAGTTTCATATTAATAAATGATGATTTTAAAATATAATGGTAATGAAATAATGATTGTGGTGGTGATGATATAAAGATAATGATTAAAATAATTGGATTAAATTATAAATTTGATTAATGCAGTATATGAAACAAATGTTTTATTAAAAAGTTTTATATATAGGTCTTGTTTATTTGCTGGAAAGTAGTTTTTAAAAACAAATCTGAAAAAATAAATTATAAAAAAGTGAATTATTTTCTAATGTTTGGTAGTGTAATGAAAAATAAGTTGGAAAACAGTTTGTAGTGTTTGGTTATGTCATGTAAAATAAGTTGAAAAATAAATTATTAATATTTTATTTTTTTCAAGTTTATTAAAATAATAAGGAACAAATCTTACAAATTAAATAGTTGAATGAGAATGAAATTGAAAAAAATATAATTTCATAAATTATCTTAAATAAAATAAATAATAATCAAAACAATAGAGATCAGATCTAAAATATTAAAAAAATAAAAGATAAAAAAATTAAAATAATAGTAATCAACATTTCATAAATTATTTCAAATAAAATAAGTAACAATTAAAAGAATGGGGATCAAATTTGATAGATAAAAAAATTCAATAAAAAAATGATAAGAAAAAAACAAATAGCAATTATAAAAATAAGGACCAAAGTTAATATAAAAATTAAATTTTAAGAGACGAAACTGAATAATAAATATTTAAAATAAAATATATATAGCAATTAAAATTTTAAGGATCAAATTTGATATAATCAGTAAATAATAACATTTCTAAATTTTTCACAACTTGCGAAAAGTGTTTTCTGCCTAAATTTTCTAGGAAAACACTTTCCTGAAAATTAAGATAAATTTTTCTTTGATTGGAAAGTATTTTTCGTTGGCTCATTTTTTTAATAGCAAACAAACACAAGAAAGTTTGGAAAGTGATTTCTTGAAAATTATTTTCTGAAAAACAAACACAACTAAAAAGAAAAATATTTTCTTGAAAATCAAGCTAAAAATTTTTTTTTTACTGAAAAGTATTTTTCTTAAAATATTTTTTTTACTGAAAAGTATTTTTCATTGACAAGAAAGTGTTTTTCATTAATCAGAAAATATTTTCCATTGACCAACTTTTCTAATAACAAACAAATATAAAAAAGTTTAGAAAGTGGTTTTCTGGAAACCACTGTCCAGGAAATAAACATGATTGTAATTGAAATTTAATATGAATGAAGGCCCAAGTGCTTGGGTTTGGAACAACTCACATGGGTGAGCCTTATTTTTTAAATTTTTTAAAGGGATAAATAATAGTTATCCACTCTTTAATTATTTGAAACAAAATTATAAGCGATCTATTGTCTTTCCTGCTCAGATTCCAACAACCTCTAGTCACTAAAAAATCAGGCTAGTTTTTTTAAGACCAAGAAAAATCTATTTTAACCATATTTTGAAAGAAAAAAAAAACTTTAAACACCTTATAAAACATATTTATAGCCCTAGCAACCCAAGAATTATATTCAAAATCCATAATCAACTTGAAATCATTTTTTTAGGTCTAAATCTATCATTTCAAACAAGTTTAAAGAGGAGAAATGCCTTAGATAAACTCTCTTTATTAAAAGAAATTTATTGACACCTAAATCACTTATTTTTGTAGTCGAAATTGATATCAGATGAGATTTTCTTTTTTTATAATTGAAATTTGATTATTTTTTCTTTCTCTTTTTAAACCAAGCATAAGAAAAAAAAAGGTTGGGATCAAATTTGAATTTCATAAATTTTTAAGGATTGAAAGTTTATAATTTAAAAAGTTAGAGAACTGAAGTGTGTGTGTCCTTCTAGAGTTCAATTGCTGTTCAAGTAAACATTTTCACTTTAAACTGAATAGAAATGTGTGTGTCTATGTACATAGATGCAGGTACTTTCTCTCTCGAGAGCGCATCCATGAATCTTCAACTTGCAGGAAGTTCTGGCTTAACTGATATGCGAGTAATTAAGAAAAGGATAGCTGACAAAAAATGCCGTGAAAAAAGGAAGGTATATATTCTCTTAATTATATATTCTCCTTTGTGTTATTTCTGTAAATATTCTCCTTATATATAATTACTTTATTTTCTTATCTAAATATATATTTTTGTGCAGCGTACGATAAATAAAGCCCAGGAAAGGATTAAAGAACTTCGAATAAAAAATTATGAGCTACAGCTACAGATCGTCAAATCAAAGGCAAAAGCAACTCAGTTGCAAAAACAGCTCGCTCAATCTCGCAACATCAGTGCGCTGATGACTTCCAAAAATGCTAGAAGAAATGCTCTGCTGGAACAGTTTTTGAATGATTATGTGGTAAGGATGCCATTCTACTTCTAAGCTACTCTTTTCTATTTTTATCTTCTAATTTACAAGATAATGTCTTTAAAATCCACATCATTGAATTTAATTTGATATTTAGGAATTGTGTTCAATATCGGATAATTATTTAAATATATGATTGATGATATTTTATTTTAAATATATGATTGATAATATTCTATTTTTATATCAAAAAAATATTTTATTAATATTTACAAAAAAAATTTCATTAATAATTATAATGTTAATGAAATTGCCAACGAAAACATGTCGTCAACAAGTTGCTTGTCGAGGGATCATTTTTTAAAAACATCAATAAGTTGCTTGTTGAGGATTTAAGTTCTATTAATGTTTTTATCAACAATTTTTTTTTTATATTGCTAAAATTAGAAGTTGAGTCAATTATCATTTCTAATATAGTTTTATAATAAATATATGGTTCTTTGTGTGTAAATCAATATAATTATTTCCCATCAAATTTTTTGTAAATAAATGTATCCTTACATCTTTATAGTTAAACTTTTTATTCTTAGACTTTACACATGAATATTTAGTTTTAGTGTCACTAATATTTTTCAAATTAAAAGGTATAAAATTAATAAAAACTCTTAATTTTTTTAAGATAATTTTGTCTTTACAACTTTTCAGAAAAATCTTGATACATCTAAAAACAATAATAATTCATTAATTATAAAATCTATATAAAATATTGATAACAATATTTATTAATAATATAATTGTCAATTCAAAATTAAAATTTTTATCAAAAATAAATTAATAATTCAATAACTAATTATCATTTATATACAAAACCAATTTTGCATCAAAATATGAACTAAACAATAATAAGAACTCAATTAACTATCCATTATTTGTTTAATTTAAATTTATTTAATCTAAATTTATACCTTTTAATTATTATTAATTTCCCTAAATTTCCTCAAATTTCTAACTTGAAAAAATGTAAGTGGCATGGCAATTAAATAACTTATTATTTTTTCAATAATAACACATATAAGTTATAAAATTAAACTCAATTTTATAAAATGATAAATAAAATTAATTTCTCTTAAATCTATAAAAAAATCCTAACATACAAATCATAAATTAATACAATAAAATTCTCTAGAAAAAAGTTGTAAAACACTTAAATATATAAATAAAAATACTATAATTTTTTTAATAAATTAACCTAAAATATAAATGGGTTAAAAAATATGTTTATTTACTTGGTGTCATAAAGTTTTACAATAAATCAAACTAAGATATTAGATATGCTAACATCTTTGATAAATATAGATCGATATTGGTGGCTTGGGGTGGCTGGATTTTTTAGAATGATGGTTGTATTTGTGAGAAAATGAGGAGGGGTTGTTTTTTTTTTCTTTTTTAAGATGGAAAGAGGGAAGAGGGAAGAGAGTTTTAGGTTTTAATTCATTTAAATTTGCTAATGAAATATCCATTTAAAAAAATTGACGTGTCAAATTTTCAATAGAATATTTGCTGAAAGAATTTTTATTATTATATATTATGTTTTTCCTCTACTATGTTAGAAATTCCAATGGAAATGTTTCGTTGTTACATTCGTTGGATATTAAGATTGAATATTGTTTTTGTTGAATTTGCTAATTTTATGGTAGTTTGAGTAATAATTTTTAAAAGAAACTGTAACCATTTCAACGGTTTAGATTATGCAACCATTATTGGTTTACACAAAACCACTCCATAATATGAACACGCTAAAATGAAATTGTTTGTCAAAGCTGAAACTTAATGCACTGTTAACAAACTATTGGGACTAAATGTGGCAGAATGCATATATCCTTTCACATGCAGTTGGAAAAAAAATTAATTGAACAAGCTCAACACATTGTCAAAAATTACGGGCTAGCTAGCTGGGGACATTTTCCAAGCATTCACTGCTATGGATTAATTAGGATGCCTTCATGCTCAATAATATTACTTAAATTTAAACAAAAACAAATTCAGAATGAATGAGCATTATGATTCTAATGTATGTCAAAATTGAAATCAAAGGAATTTTTAAAGGAAATCCCAAGATTTAAATGTTGAACTATCCGTTTTGGGGTCGTCAAGGATTTGCATTTGGCAATTTCTTCTCTAGTTCTCCTCCAAGAGGGTTTAGATTTCTCTTTCTTTATGTCACGCACGTGTATACTCTCCTAGCACTTGAACATATACTCTTGTGAATCAAAACCCTGTATATATATAGAGAGAGAGGTTTTGCCCTCACAAGAGGTAATACCGAAAAGGCACAAGCCTAAAACAAAAGGAAACAAAATCCTGAATACGATGAGATAAATTAAGATGGTTAAAAGTATAAATAGTGATTGTAACATAGAATGATGTTGTATAGTTTCTCAAAACATCTGGAAATCAATCTTGTAAGGTTGCAACTATGTTGTATTAACCTTTTTGCATCTCCTATTATTATAAATCACAACCAACCAAATAATTTCTTTTGCTTGTAAATAATTGGCAGCTGCAAAACTCTGGCCATGGAAACACACCTTTCAACACACAGGTGCAGCTCTTCACTATTATTTCCTCTATCTATAACATGGCTTGTTGTGCTTAACATAGTGTTCATAAAGATGAGACAAATTAAGATGGTTAGAAGTATTAATAGTTATCGTTTTTTCCATACTGGTTATAGCATGGAGAGTAAGGATCATTTGTTTTTTGGTCGTGCATTCTCTCAGAAAATATGGAAATCAATCACCCAAAGCTGCAACTGTGTTGTATTAACCCTTTTACTTCTCCCATTATCATAAATCACAACCAACCTAACAACTTCTTTTTCCTGTAAAAAAATTGCAGCTGCAAAACTATTCTCAGGGAATCACACCTTTCAACGCACAGGTGCGACGTACTCTTTACTCTTGTTTCCTCTTTCTATTTTTAGTCTTGTTGTGTTTAATAGATTGTTCACAAAGATGAGACAAATTAGGAAGGCAAGAAGTATTAATCCTCAAGTTGTTTGTTGCAAAGTAATTTTTTTTAAAAGTAAATTATAAAAAAATTAATTATTTTTTAATATTTGATAATGTAATGAAAAATAAATAGAAAAATATTTTCTAGTATTTAGTTATGTCATGAAAAATAAGCTGGAAAATAACTTATTAATATTTATTTTTAAAATTTATTAAAATAATAAGGAACAAACCTTACAAATTAAAAAGTTAAATGAGAATGAAATTGAAAAAAATATAATTTTATAAATTATCACAAATAAAATAAATAATAATAAAAAAAATAGAGATCAAATCCAACAAATAAAAAATTAAAAGATAAAAAAATTAAAATAATAATAATAATCATTTTGTAAATTATTTCAAATAAAATAAGTAACAATGAAAAAAAATAAAGATCAAATTTGATAGATAAAAAATTTCAATTAAAAAAAAATTAAACTATATATATATATAGACAGAAAGAGAGAGAGAAATCAGAAGTTTGAGAATAAAATTTGATATAATTAGTAAATAATATGACATTTCTAAATTTTTTATAATTTTCATAAAGTGTTTTTTACCTAAAATAAAAGAAAAATATTTTCTTGAAAACCAAGTTTTTTAACTGAAAAATATTTTTTATTTATCAACTTTTTTAATGACAAATAAATATAAAAAATATTTTTTAAAACACCAATTTTCATTAAACAAACACCCCTAACATTGATTGTCTTTTCTATACTGGTTATAACATGGAACGTGGGGATCATTTGTTTTTTGGTTGTGCATTCTCTCAAAACAATTGGAAATCAATCCTCCAGGGCTGCAGCAGTGCTTCATTGTGCCTTCTACCTTTTCCATTATCATAAATCACAATTAAACTAATAATTTATTTAGCCTAATAAAAAATTTATAGCTGCAAAATTATAATCAGGGAAGCACATCTTTCAACACACATGTGTGTCTCTTAACTGTTGTAACCTCTTTGTATAACCTGGCTTGGTGTGCTTACAAGTTGTTTATAAAGAAGAGACAAATTAAGATAGTTACAAGTATTAGGCTCTGTTTATTTATAAAAAAGTTTTTTTAAAAAATAAATTTTTAAAAAATGAATTATTTTTTTATAGTTGGTAGTGTTATGAAAAATAAATTGAAAAACACTTTCCAGTGTTTGGTTATATTATGAAAAATAAACTAAAAAATAATTTATTAATTTTTTTTCAAGTTTATTCATATAATAAGAAACAAATCTTACAAATTAAAAAGTTAAATGAGAATAAAATTAAAAAAATATAATTTCATAAATGATCTCAAATAAAATAAATAATAATCAAAATAATAAAGATCAAATTTAAAAAAAAAAGATAAATAAATTACAATAATAATAATTAATATTTTATAAAATATTTCAAATAAAATAAGTAACAATCAAAAGAATGAGTATCAGATTTGATAGAAAAAAATTTAATAAAAAAATAATAAAAGAAAAGCAAATAACAATTATAAAAATAAGGATCAAAGTTAATATAAAAATTAAATTTTAAGAAATGAAATTGAAAAATAAATATTCAAAACAAAATATATATAACAATCAAAAGTTTGAGGATTAAATTTGATACAATCAGCAAATAATGATATTTCTAAATTTTTCATAACTTCCAGAAAGTGTTTTTCGTTTAAATTTTTCAGGAAAATATTTTCCTGAAAACCAAGCCAAATTTTTTTTTAACTGGAAAGTATTTTTCATCGACTAACTTTTCTAACAACAAATAAACATAAAAAAGTTTTGAAAGTAATTTCCTGAAAATTACTTTTTAAAAAACAAATACAATCTTGATACTAATAGTCTTTTCCACACTAGTTATAGCATGGAATGCAGGGATTTTTTTTTATTTTTTTATTGTGCATTCTCTCATAACATCTGTAAATTAATCACCAAAAGTTGCAGCTGAGCTGCATTTAACCCTTTTACTTCTCCCATTAATAATTGATTGATTCACTCATTAACCCTTTTACTTCTCTCAATAATTCACCCATCAACCTAATAATTGTTGGAACTTGGAACACTATCACTCAATAACAGAGGAAGGATTTAATTAACACTCACAATTGATTCTGCCAACACATTTTTGGTGAAATACAAAGCAATAATTTATAATACTCTCACACCTTGATTTCTTTATCAAAATTCATACAATATATAGACATTGTAGAATGTCGTTTACAAACTTCAAAGTTCTTAATTAACATTTAACTCATTAACACTAACACAAACTTCATAATATTTCTAACTTTCATGTTTATTTTTTCAATTATTTACTTTAATATACTTAATTCTAATAAACAAGTTTAATAACTAACAATAATTTCTTTTGCCATTAAAAAACTTTCAGCTGCAAAACACCGGTCAGGGAAGCACATCTTTCAGCACACAGGTGCCACTCTTTATTATATTGTTTCCTCTTTTTATATTGTGTTCAACACACAACTGCAAAACTCTGTGTTTAACAGATTGTTCACAAAGATGAGACAAATTAAGATGGTCAGAAGCATTAATAGTGATTCTCTTCTCCATACTGGTTATAACATGGAACGTGGGGATCATTTGTTTTTTGGTTGTACATTTTCTCTCAGAACATCTAGGAATCAATCCTGCAAGGCTGCAAAGTGTTTCATTAACCCTTTTACTTTTTCTATTATCATAAATCACAATCAAACTAATAATTTCTTATGCCTCCAAAAAATTTATAGCTGCAAAACTATGGTCATGGAATTACACCTTTCAATACACAGGTGGGGCTCTTTACTATTGTTTTCTATTTCTATATTTTGGCTTGTTGTATTTAATAGATTGTTCATAAAGACAGTGCGAATTAAGATGGTCAGAAGTATTAATAGTAATTGTCTTCTCTATATTGATTATAACATGGAAAGTATGGATGATTTGTTTTTTAGTTGTGCATTCTCTCAAAACTTGTAGAAATCAATCACGCTAGACAGAAATTGTGTTGCGCTAACTCTTTTACTTCTCCCATTATCGTAAATCAGAATCAACCTAATGATTTCTTTTGCCCTTGAAAAATTTAAAGCTGCAAAGTTCTGGTCAGGGAAGTGCACCTTTTAAAACAGATATGCGACTCTTTGCTATTGTGTCCTCCTTCAATAACCTGACTTGTTGTGCTTAACAAATTGTCCACAAAGATGAAACAAATTAGAATGGTAAGAAGTATTGATAGTGATTATCTATTTTGTACTAGTTATAACATGAAATGAAAGGATTATTTGTTTTTTGGTTGTATATTCTCGCGAAACATTTAAAATCAATTTTGCGCAACTTTGTCGAGTTAACCCTTACACTTCTCCCATTATTCATATATCACAATCAACCTAATAAATGTTTTTTTGCCCACAAAAAAATTCGCAGCTGCCATGCTTTGATACAGGGGATCAGGGAAACACATCTTTCGACGAGGATGTACGACTCTTTACTATTGTTTCCTCTTTTCTCTGTCTAAATTAGCTAGTACTCACTGTGTTATTTTGGTTTCAGTTGAACTGGCTCATGGAATGGCCGGGGACATTGCCTCAGTCGAAAGTCATAAACTGGAGTAGAATTAGTTGAACACCCTGCACATGATGAGGTGGCTGCAATCAGGGCAGCGCACGACCCGGAGTTGGTAACGCACCAAACCTCTCTTTCCATTATTGCTCGAAAGTCGTATAATATCCTAGATGTTCTTGTGTTCTTGTGTTCTTGTGTTCTAATTAATAATTCTAAAGTGTACATATATAGGAGACCGAAGGGCAGTCCCTTGTTGATCCGGTCTTTGATGTTGATGACTTTAACAGTTTTGATAACTGAGACACTTGAGAATATGCGCTGACATATGCATGGAGACAACAGCAGCTGCATGATGAGAAGAGGGAAAGCAGGGAGATACTGGAAGATTGTTTACTGGCTTTGTTTTTTTATCTAGTTTTTCTTGAAGATTTTGGGAGATACTGTCATGGCTTTTCTTGTTTGTTTTATTTTCTTGATTGTGATTTTGGAAGTACTCTGATTCTAAGTTATGTGTGGTTAAATTGAAGTTTTTGAAATTAAAATCTTCTTTCGTATCATTGATTTAAAGGAATTGCTGATTATATAACACGAAACCTTTCAGCTATTTATTGATTTGCAATCATTAATTTGCTAACTACACACCTTGGTGTTTAAGATTATTTTTATATTGACTCATGATTAAAAAAAATTATTTTTTGGTGATTAAGATTCAAAATAAAAATATTTTAAAAATACCTTCTTAACTATCAAGTCTACTTCTTGGAGTTTATAAACTTTTTAGTAATTATGAATTATTTATGATTTTCTTTCTATTATATTTCTTTGTATGTTCCTTCTTGTTGTTGATGATGATTGCCAATTACCAAGGTGATGCTACAAAACTCTTTTATAAGTGATAATGGGCATGAATCGAAAACCACACAATCGTGGCTAATGAGAGTATATGGCTACTAGGGGTTTATAGTCTCGGCGATTATAGTACCTTTTCTTCTGCTGCCTAGCTAGTTGGTGGTGAATGCTGACCCGTGAGGGCATCCATACATGCATACATATAAACACGGTACGTCTAAAAAAACAGTAAGATGGGCCTTGACCCTGAAAATACATTTGGGGGTAAATACCTCAAAAGCCCCGGGAAAACTATCAAGGTAGATGTACTACCAACCGCACTCATACCACGTGTATAAAAGTATAGTAGTGATTCTTTTTTAACCAACCGCACTCATACCACGTGTAAGTATATAAAAGTATAGTAGTGATTCTTTTTTAATATAGTTTTTATTTAGAAATATATTAAAAAATATTTTTATATTTTTTAAAATATTTTTAATTTTAACATATCAAAAAATATAAAAAATTAATTTTAAATAAAAAATTTTAAATTTAATCAACTTTTATTTGGAGCACCATGCCAAATAAAGACAAAGGTTTAAAACCTACAAGCTTATACATAGTGTCTAAATATTATAAATACAGTATTATAGTTTTCAAATCGGATTTGAAGTTTTACTTAACTCAAAGTTTTAGTTATGAATTTATCAAGTCAATCATGTTTATTTTTAAGTTTATATTATTTTAATTTTTTAATAACTAAAATTATGTCATTTTAAAAAAATAATGAACTGTGATCATTTTATATAATAATTAAAAAAATCTTGAAATTAACCCAGTCAAATTTTATTTGAATTTATGTTAATTAATCCGATTAAAAATTAACCTATCAAGTTAATCAAGTTTTACTGTGTTAATTTTCAAAATGGTTCAAAACCTGAACCAAGCTTGAAATCAATGATCATCTTTTTCCATCGAGTTTAGAAATCCTCCTCTAGGATCAGAAGAAACTTTATTTGCCAACAAATTACATATGCCAGTCATTGCGCAAGTTTGGAGTGTTTTTTTTTTAAGGGAAAAAACTTCTCTTTTACATCTAATTTTATGAATAACTCTTGGAGTTAAATAATTGAGAGTACTTGTCCATGAGAAAAAAAAAAAAAAAAAGGAAAATTTGTTTTAAGTGAAAGTTTCAGGTTAATGAATCACATCGATCGATCATCATGAGATCATGATATTTTCGCCTCACATATCCTTGACAACCTGTTACAGTGCACGGGAAGATGATAACATCCTGGGATGTATATTGCAGAACATGCTGGTACGTTTAACAAGTTCTCTGAATGAAACAAATTATCCTTCATATCTATTCACTTTCAATAATTAAATTATAATTATATAGCTTTTTGAATGATCAGTTGATGCGCCTTCCGCGCATTGCAAATTTCGAGTTTTGAAATAGAACTTCACATGGTAGTGGGCTTTCACGTGGTGGACCCGTAATATATAATGTGATATTTTCTGCAAATCTTCGTCTAATTTTTTATTTTTTTTAATTCTAGAGTCTTTGTTAACATTTTATGACCTGGTCAATAATCATATTGATATGAACGAATGGTTCCTCGAGGATATATCCAGACCAGTTCAATTCTTACTGCTGTTTTCAGTTTTGCGACCAGCAGACTTGAACCCTTGATTTGAAGCTGTTTCATGTGTTAGCACAAACCAACAAGCTACTTATTGTTGAGTCCAGCTGTATGTTATTCATCTTTGCAAACTTGAATATTCTGTTTCTTTTCCTGCTCCTAATGATCAATATTTAGCCATGAATGGTATGTTTTTAGTTAGTCTGTCATTTTAATTTGTTTCACAACGGGTATGTTTTTAGTCTGTCATTTTAATTTGTTTCACAACTTCTGTTGATTCTTACTTCTGTTTCTTCCCTGATTTAAAATATTTTGCAGGAATGAAGACGAGAAAAAAAGAGAGAGCGGTAGAAGATGCTGGAGGCATTGTCAACAACGAAAAAGGAATTCCGCGATTTAAGACTTTGCAACTGGCTAGCAGCTTATGCGATCTATCAACTTGAGCATTTTACAGATGAAACTGCATGATTTGAGTGGATCTACCACATCAGAGCCGGGATGACAAGATGCAAGAAAGAGACTACAGAGACTACATTTGCAGCTAGCCAGGCACTGTCATGATAGACCAGTCAAAATCAAGTAGCCGAAGCAGGCCCAAGAAAGAAGAGGAGGTGGCGAAAGAGAAAGAAAGAGAGCCCAACATGACAGACCCAGCCCAACTGGAGAGGTGGAAGGGAAAGGCCCAAACCTGCTAGCAGTTGAGCCGATGACTCCATTGGAGATGAAAAGAAAGCCCAATTTAGCAACTTGTTGGGCCAAATGGCCTAGACTTCGTCAAAGATTTGAGAAAACGAAAACAAAACATTTGAGCTTCGAACAAGCTTGTATTTTTGCTGATGTGCAGTCGAGGAAAGCAAACTGGCCTCTAAAGAAGAGAGTGCGATAAGGGAAGGTATAACTGAATAGTTCTAACAGTTATGACATATTTGAACTCGTTTTCCTACAGCCAAACTAACAGCCTGCAATAATTAAATCGTATATAAGTAATTACTTTGGTTCTGTTTTCTCTTTTTTATTTGAAGAAAAAAAATCCCTTTTAAAAATAAAAAGAGTATTCAAGTCCAAGTTGCCACTTCCTAATGTATTTTTCTACCTTGTTTTACCGAGAGCTGTTTCATGGTGAATTAAATTTTTATCTTATTAAACAATAAGATATTATATATTGATTCTTTCTTAGCAGTTTTAGGAAAAACATTTAGGAGGGCTAAAGTTTAAATTTTCTTTATTTTTAGTACTAAAAATCTAATTAGTTAAAGGAGAGGTCTTTTCCCCACCTACGTCCACTCCAGTAACATTTATAGTCACCAGATCTTCCCCTTCCATAGTTTCTCGTGCATCTTCTTTCTTTCTTCTAAAATAAACATGTTGTCTCTCTCTCTCTCGCTCTTTTTCAATTTGTCCAGTAGCTGTGGTGAAATCTAACTACACTTAACAGTATAATGGGGGCGGATAGTAATATTAGTTTGAGGGTCTAATTAGAGAAAAATATTTAGAAGGGGGTTCAATTCAATATTTTTATTTTGAGGACTAAAAATCTAATTTATTGAAGAAGAGAGGACTGAAAAATTCTTTCCAGGGCCGTGCATCTCCCCCGTGTCATGTTCTTATCATCTCCCCCCTATAAATATATTCTCTCTCTCTCTCTCTCACTCTGTCCCACACGCTATTCATCAAGTTCTCTCTCTCTGGATTGGTGTGCTTTTAGCTTGGAGTTTTCAGTACTTTCAATTGTTTTGTTTTCTGCAGCTACCAGCCAATTCAATGGAAGCTCCATCTGAACTTGTCGGAGGTACAGTACAATACTTCTATATATCCATGATAAATAAGTATTTAGGTGGCTAGATCTCTAATTTATATGTTCATCATTTCTCACATATTTTCCCCGAGCTAGCTATTCTTAACTAGCCTGATTTTGGGCTGATGCTGATGTTTTTGTTTGGTTTCCACGAAACTATAAAAAAAAAAAAAAAAACAATGCAATCGTCATTCAAACACTTTGAAAAGTTACCCTATTAAAAACAATTAGAGTCGAATATAGCTAAAAGGAGATTTGTTTTAAGGGTTTTTTTTAATAAAAAAAGGATATCTATAGTTGAAAGTAAAGATAATTCATCGTAGTAATGTAATATGGATATATACTGTTTTGATTCTCGATCGGCTAAGTTCAGTAGGATCATTAAACATGAAACAAAGTTATGATTAGTGCTGTGCGGCTAAGCATTTTAGCTCCTCGTTACATGAGTTATCAACCTTAATTTATTACCTAAAAAAAAAAAGAAAAAACAATAAGCTTCTCCATAAAGAGAATCTACATAGTTTTAATGGAGTGTACAGATCAGTTTAAGTAACTAATCCTTGATCGGGTAACTAGAAGTTTTATAACAATCCTTTCTTTTTTGGAATTATATTACTCATATGTAGCATATATAATGGATCGATACAAACGGATGGCTAGAGCTTCTATTCCACTGAAAATCTTGACAGTACTGATACCTATATCTAGAACCCATTAATATTTAATATGTTGGTGAATTACCAAATACATCAGTAGGTTAACATGCATATACATTGATTGTAATTGAGCATTGTAAAAGGAAGGATGATCGGTTCACCCATATCATATTGATTTGTGACTGTTTTATAGATGTTAATATATGAAGACAACCAATAATGCTAGGATATTGAAAAGCTAGCGAACGCATTCTATTAACATAATTGGCAAGGGTTTTTTTACCTTGTTATTATATATATACTTAAACCCTATTGCTATAGTTATTTCGAGCTTTGTTCTCCTAAATTTTAAACATATGAACACAGGTCAAGTTGTCCAACCATCAGCTGCTGAAACTAAGAAAGCAAAGAGACGGGTAAGTGATAAGAAATATTGTCATGGAAAGAAGCTAGAAGTGACTGGAGCAGTATGATCCCCTCCATATTTTTTTTCTCGTTTTAAACTCCATATATTGTTAATTTATGCTTTTCTCTTTTTTTTTTTATATATATATATATATACACGTGCAGCAAAAGATGAAGGACACTCAGAAACAGTTAAAAAAGCTGAAAGCAGATTATGCTAAGTTGGTTAAAAGCGAAGCCTCCTCCAATGAAATACTGGATCGCTTGAAAA